AGCTACATTAGATGCTCTTGTAGTTTTGGTTTAAGTTGTAGTGTCTCAGTGGTTTTGGGTTTCCTGGCATAAATGAAAAATGTACAGACAGGGACAATGTAGTCTACTTTATTTACATAAATATGTTACAGTACTGCCTTTAGAAACCTCCTTTTATTTGTCCAAGCCATATCTTTAAAGGATGTTCAGAAGCGAGTACTTTACATGTCTTCCAAAGTTGGTTTTTTTAGGACTCAGGCGAAGGGTGAAAGTGGTCACAGCTAATGTGCTTCTATAGGCAGAAGGGTTGCAGTGCAGCCTAGGCACTGGAACTTTTTAACAGCTCTCTAATATAGATCAGGAGAACGGACTCCTGCCGAGGACTGACTGCTTTCTCTGAGGAGGGTTCCACACACATTTCATGGATGGCAATTCTGTCTTAAATGTCCTTACTTCTAACCAGCGCTTCTTGCACCCCTTGCTGTGCCAGTGCAACTCATTCCACAGCTTAGTAGGAAAGTGAAGTGGGAAATGATACCTTTTTTTAAAAAAAAAAAAAAAAGCCAAAATCATAATATTTTTTTCAGTGGCATCACTTATCCTCAAAGTACATAGAGACCAAGATCATGTTAACTTAAATAATTTATCTCTGCTACATTATTTAAAAATACAGTATTTTCAAATGATAGAAGCATACATTAGATTCCTATTTTTAGGTAAAATTGTTATTTTAAGTGAAGCCATATTTCCATTTCCATAAATTTGAGATAGACATTCAGAAATGTTTTCTAACCTACTGTAGTCAATTCTGTTGGAAATAGATTCAGATCGTTTTCTTGTTTACTCTCCTTTTAATGGAAATGTTAGGTGTAGTTATGCAGATCAATTAACGAGGATGGACGTAGAAAGTGAAGCGTTGTGAGTAACAACACCATTATTGTAGTGGAAATCACTGCAGCAGCAGACATCCTAATCACAGCTCTAACCAGTGATTGAGCACCTGGTGGGAAGGCAGGGCCATCCCGGGGAAGCTCAGGTGCATGCAATGTTCCTGAGTGAGCAGAAGGGTGGAGCCAGGATCCACCCCTTCCCAGACCTCATTTAAGGGTTGGCAGCGCAGAGTAAGTTACTGTTAGGGATCTTTCCTTTATTTCTGTGTCTGCTGCTGTTGTGTTTGAGCAAATCCTCGCTTGTGGCACCCTGTGACCTTGCTGCTCTGTTGTCATTGCTGCATTTTTCCATCGTGTTACACTTAAATTTTTTTCTTATTGGCCATTTGCAGTTGATGCGGAAGTTCTTCTGGCTTACTGTGTACTTTAAGGATGCTTCACTTTGTGAAGAAGCTGTAACTTTAAATAAAAGCAGTGTTTAATTTATGCTGTTGTTTTGGAGGTATTGATTGATGCTCAGCTGAACGTGAGCCAGCAGCTTGCCCAGGTGGCCAAGAATGCCAACGGCATCTTGGCTTGCATCAGAAATGCTGTTGCCAGCAGGAACAGGGAAGTGACCGTCCCCCAGTGCTGAGCTCTGGTGAGGCTGCACCTCCAGTACTGTGTTCAGTTTCGGTCCCCTCATTGCAAGAAAGACATTGAGGCACTGGAAAGACATTGGGGCACTTCAAAGAAGGTCAACAATGCCAGAGAGGGGTCTGTAGCACAGGCCTTAAGAGGATCAGCTGAAGGAGCTGGGATTGTTCAGTTTGGAGAAGAGGAGGCTCAGGGGAGACATTATTGGTCTCCGTAACTACCTGAACGAAGGTTGCAATGAGCTGGGGGTCGGCCTCTTCTGTCACGTAGCTAGTGATAGCTCTAGAGGGAATAGGTCTAGAGGGAATAGCTTCAAGCTGCACCAGGGGAGATTCAGGCTGGACATTAGGCAATACTAGTTTTCTGAAAGAGCGGTCAGGCACTGGAATGGGCAGCCAAGGGAGGTGGTGGACTCACCGACCCTGGAGCTGTTCAAGGAATGCTTGGGTTTTGTGCTGAGGGGCATAGTTTAATGAGAACTATTGGTGATAGGTGGATGGTTGGACTGGATGATCTTGTAGGTCTTGGTGTTTCTGTGGTTCTGTGAAGTTCTCTGTAATGATTATCCTTTTTCTTTTGGCATGAAGATTATGTGTGTAGAGCTCGTTGTATTGGATTTTATTGGGTATTTATCATGTCAATAGGTAATTATACCTGAACTTAATGGAAAGGTAGGGTAGTGAAAGGTCACAGTTGTGTGGAACTAATTTTATTTTCCTACCATGAAAAAGCGAACATCTGCTTATTTTCTTTTAAAGTGTGTGAACTGTAAAAAACAAACAGCAACTACAAAGAAAACCAACAAAGAAAAAACATGCAACAGTGATTTGCACGTCGATCACCTTGGGTAAGTGTGCACTACTTTATGTCGTGGTTTTGTTTTTACTTCTGTAGTCCTTACAGTTATAGAATTTCCAAGTATAAATTCAATGTCCAATTGTGATATATTTTTCCATATTTGATTTAATCTTGGCAAGAAATGTTGCAATGTCAGCCTGTTTTCCACGGATTTTGTTATTTTATTTCCTCATCCTATCTGAAATACTGATGTGAGGAAAAACAGGAATGGCAAATGGGTGGCTACAAATTGAGATTTCTGGTTTGTGATCTGCTGATCTGTATAGGACCGGAGTGAAGTAGTAAATCCTTTAAATGATCTCTTAATGTTACAAATAATAAAGTCCTACCCTGCTATTTGGAATATGATCTCAGGACACGCTCTCAGAGAGTGATCTTGGCAGGGAAATGGTTGATCCCTGAGGTCCCTTGCACCCATTGCCGAGGGTCCCCAGAATCTTCAGCTATTCTGAGATTTTCAAAATGGAATGGAAACTTTTTGTCTTTGTTCAGTAGCAATGGTTTTTGTTTTATCCCAGTTAGTTTTTTCCATAAATTGCAGAACATACGATCTGGAAAACCTAATAACTTTCTGTGGTTTTTTTAAATTATTATTATTTTTTTAATTTTTTTTTACAGTAAGTACAATTTTTTTTCCTGTGGTTTTGTGTTTTCCTTTTTACAGTACATGTGGAACAATTTTTGCCATTAAGAATTTTTGAGATAAATACTTTCTTGCCTATAGAGCTAATTGGTTTTAATTTTAAATAATCAGAAGGTATTGTCTTTGTTGCAGCTAGGAAGGAATTTCTTTTTTTCCGGTGTCCAGTATGAGGCCATGTTTTGGTTCTAGAAGAAAAACAATGTTGATAACATGCTAATGTTTTTAGTTGCAGCTGTCCAGTGTTGTTCAGAGCCAATACCAGTCTCAGCAAAGCATCCACGGAGCTGGGAGTGAATGGGGTAGCTGACTTAAAGTAGCCAAAAGGTATTCCATAGCACGTGACGTCACATGGAAAGAATTTTGAAGTTCATGAGTTATGAGTTCATTTTGCTCTCTTTCATTCATTGGGGAGCTAGCTGAGCATCACTTGGGTGGTAGTGGTAGCGGTAGTGGCAATTGCTTGCACATTACTTGCTATCTATGTTTATATGTATACATGTGTGTATATATATTCATACCTGTTAATCTTTTCTCTATCATCTCAGTACAAAGTTTTATCTCTACCCATGTGTGGTGGAAATGCTAAGTCAGGGCCTGAGGCAGTGATTGAGCACCTGTTGGGAAGACAGGGCCAACCCAGGGGAGCTCAGGTGCATGCAATGTTTCTGAGTAAGCAGAAGGGGTGGAGCCAGGATCCACCCCTTCCCAGACCTCATTTAAGGTTTGGCAGTGCAGGCAAGGGCATCTCTTGCTGGAGATCCCTACCTACCTGAGGCTGTTTGAAGGTAAGCAGATCTTTCCCTTTATTTCTGCATCTGTGGCTGCTTCATCAGGGCTCATCCTCATTTGCTTCAGCCAAAAACTTTGTCACTCTGCTATTGTTGCAGAACTTTCCATCCTGTAATAGCATTACACTATGAGTTCTACTTCACTTTCTTGGTTTTTTTTGCAGTTCTTTCCCCCATTCCTCTGGGAAGGTGGGGGATAGAGTGCTTAGTCACCAGTGGGGTTAAACCACAGCTGGTATGCCTCGCGGTATTTGCAGAAGGGTGTGTTAGTGGTCCTAGAAGCAACTCTTAAAAATAGGGAATATTGACTGTGGAAGTTGGTGAATCTACCAGGCGATTACACTGACTCTGACTTAGTTACCATCACAGCAAAGGCGTGTTCAGCACGATGGCTGTTCAGAAAACACATTTAGAGAAAGGACTGCACAGAACTGTCGCAGTACCTTAAACTTTTTCTTTAAAGACAGGAGGTTTACTTTGGAAAATCTCCTTCAGTTGTTTGCAACTAAAATGATGGAAGAAGCTTTTGGGTTTCTGTGGTCTGTAACGGTTGCATCAGGTGGCACGAAGCAGCATCAGAACTCAAAGATGCCTTCTCTCGAGATTGTGGAGTGTTTGAACTTGGATGTAAGGAAGGAGAGTCTCATATTTTGTTGCAAGGAAACAGTTACTAATGTAGCAATTATGATTAATTAAACACAGGTACTTCGTAGGCATAACAGTTAAGAACACGTTCCTAAATAACGTATTGGCAAGGAAACTCTTTAGAAATGGCAGCTGGGTATTTTGAAAGTGAATCATATATAAAATTCAGTAATGTGATTGCAGAGAAACTTGTCAGCAGAAGCTCAAGAAAAGGAGTCTGAATCTATTAATGTTTACCCTAACAGTAGTAGGCACACCTGAACACACAGAGGAAAAAAAGCACATAGAGAAACCATGATGGAAAGTAGTGTTAAATCCCAGTAATGTGGAAATACAGGGACAGAAATTAAAACACTCCTTGCACTCTTAATACAATACTCTGCAAGCCTAGTGTATCCTATTAGCCTAGTTTAATCCAAGTTGAGTTCTTCAGCCTTACTGGGAAATAGAAAAAAGTAGAACAACTGGCCCCAAAAAAACAGCTCTGTCAGACACACTACCACAGTTCTATGAAGTTTAATATGGCATAAGCGTAATATTAGAACTTTTAATGATCATGGAAACAGGAGAAAACTTAATAGTCTGCATTTTTGGACAAGTCCATTAAATGCAAGAAATTTTCTCAATAGAAATGCAGTATTTATTTCCTTTTGTAACCTGGATTTTACACAGCAAACATCACAGCAGCTAGAGTTCAACAGTAGAATATAACATTCTTACTCCTAAAAGTATTCCCCATATGTTAAAAATAAATTCATTCAACTTACATCATCATTATTGCTGTTACGCTAAACAGTAAGCATGCATCCCTGTTTTCTTAAACATTGCGTGACTTGTCACAGAACTATGGAATTGTTACAATTGAAAGGGGACCCACAGAGGTCATCTCCCCCCTTTTCCCCCCCATTTAACAGGGACAGTCACAGCTATCCCCTTTAACACTCTGGCATCTGCATTCTCCAGCCCAAGACACAAAGAAATAGTTTAATGCATACAGTAGTTTTTGTCATTCACAAAAAAAAAAAAAAAGACAACAATCATTGAAAATTGTTGTGACTGAAATAACTTCTTCTTGCATTCACTCCATCTGCTGAGCAGCGCAGTTTCATGCCATCACTGTTTCTAGTCCATGCTTCCCAAGGGCTTGTGCTTCAGGAGTTGAGTTCTGTGGAAAGATAGCAAGCTGTGACAGCTACACAACTAGAGTAACTGTGGTTTTAGGGGGAAGACCAATCAGAAACCCAACAGGTTCAAGTACTTCACAATACAACTGTTTTCTGTAGTAGGCTGTGTAAGTAGCAATTACAATTACAGTTGAGAAAGAAAGACCTGCAGCACTAGGCATAGAAGGAAGGCTCTATCTGCTGTTGTAGCTTTAGGAAATCAGAAAGTAATTAAAGGAGTAGACAGGAACTGTCTGCTGTAGCACAAATTTATCACCTACCTTTGTTTTTAAGGGGATATAACAGGGAGAAAACCTCTACTCATGCAATTATCTACTTAAGTGCTGAGCAACACCAGCCCTCTTTCACGTAACACAGTGAAAGAAGCCCCTGAGATGACAGTCATAGCACTTCCTTTTCCCAGAAAAGGAATCCTGAAGTTATCTGATCCGTCAGCCTTGACATCAGATACCTCTTCAGCAGCTGATGAAGTTGCTCAGGGCTTCAGTCTGCTGAAATTCCAGTCTCCCCAGGTAACCCCATAGCTTTCTCCCTGTCCCACAACCAGACAGCACAGGGGGAGGTGAGAAAATAACACCTGCTGTACTGGGCTCTGCTTTTTCCTTTACCAAGCTTCTTGAGGTTCCCCCAGCTTGGCATCAAGTTCCTTTTAAATGGCAGCTTCACGCTCTGCTAGTCCAACTGTTATGGCTTTATGTGCTGCAGGCTATTTCGAGAGACTGAGGGGCACTGGCAAAATTAGAACACAGTAGCACGAAGTGTCCAAGGTGACTGAACCAGAGTAGTGGTCTTATGCAGTCAGAATGGAAAAGGGAGCATTGCTTTTTGTACGCCATTGCTACAGTAAAGCGAGCATAGGGTGGCTGAAGCAGCAGCTCTTGGGCAAAAGCCGCATTTAAATATGATTGCAGAAGAGGCCGCCGCTCAAACCGCCAGCAAAGCAAAGAGCGCTTACCTAGAACTGGCAGAGCAGCAGCAGCGAGCCGCTTCCAAACCGCAGGCTGGGTCTGGGGTATTTCCTGCCCTAGAGGCATAGGACTGGCTCCCCTCGAGCAGAAACAATAAGAGAACAGCAAATAGTCTCCTGGGGGACGCAGTAAAGAACGCAGTAAAGAAAAGAACCGGAGCATTAACTCAGCTACTTGCCTTTTTTTTTTTTATCGCCCGCAGGCACGAATTTAAAAAGAAGTTTACTTGCAGAGAGAAAGGCCATTTCCTTCTCTTTACCAGCCCACAGTAAGACACATCTTACAGTCAGGTAAGATACTTTTAGTTAGAGATAATTTTAGTTAGTTTTCTAGTAAATCCATTTTTCTTCAACTGTAATTCTAAGCTAACCAATAGTCTTACATTCAGAAATAGTGGGAAGTTTACCGGTAATCCCATGGAAAAACTACCTTACATAGAATGATTACAGCAGAGGAACTGCACTTACTCTGCTTTCAGAGGTGTTCTTGTGCTTGCTCAAAGACACCTGCAGATGAATTTTCAATTTTTAATTTTTAATTTTCTGTGAAATTTTTTAATTTTCACAGAACCCTTCTAAGAAAGCCATGTGTTTTGCAAGCATTTTTATTTTGTTTTAATGCATTAGTCGGACTTATCAGGGCTTTGAGCATTGGGTTTCAAATACATAAAGCCATAGAGCAGCAAACTTAAACTAACTTTAAAGCACTACTTTCAGTTCCTCCCAGAAGCAGCCACCACCATCCAGGAGCCACCACCAGCACTCAGGTATCCCCGCTCCCATCAGGGGGGGCCCCCAGAGGCCAGGGGGGTGAGGGAGGGGGGGAGGCGGGAGGGAGGCCCCGAGGGGCAGGGAGCAGGGGGAAGAAGGGGGGAGGAGGGAGGGCGGCCCCGGGGGGCAGGGAGGGAGGAGGGAGGGCGGCCCCGGGGGGGGGGGGGGAGGGAGGGGGGGGGGCGGGGGGGGGGGGGGGGGCGGGCCGCCACATGACGAAACCCACCCCCCCTCCAAAAAAAAAAAAATATATCTCTTTAGAGATAGTGCAAATTTCGCGGTCTAGCAAACAAAAAAAATCGAAAACCACCCCCCCAAACAGTCAGTTACCCCACCACAAAGCACAGCCAAAACTAGAATGACCACAGGGCAAACGAGACTACAAAAGAAAGAAACCAAGATAACTACCAAAAACACTAAGACGATCACAAGACAAAAAAAACAGAACCAGAAACCAAGATAACTACAAAATACAATCTTAACAGAAAACAAGACAACTACCAAAAACACCAAAACTAAGATGATCACAAGACAAAAAAAAACAGAACCAGAAACCAGGACAGCAAAAAAAAAAAACCAAGATGCAAGACAACACCAAAACTAAAAATCACAAGACAAAAAAAACCAAGACAACTACCACAAAGCACAGCCCAAAAACACCAAAACTAAGATCACCACAATACCTCAACAGAAAACAAGACAGCCAAAAAAACCCAAAAAACACTAAGACACAACTATCACAGCCCCAAAAAAACCCACAAAATACAATCTCTCCAGCAAACAAGACAGCCAAAAAAAAACCAACCAAGATGCCAAGACACAACTACCGCAAAGCACAGCCCCCCCAAAAAAAACAAGATGACCACAAGCTCAACAGCAAAGACAGAAAAAAAACCAAAACCAAAACTAAGATGACTGCAAAATACAATCTCTCCAGCAAACGAGACAGACAAAAAAAAAAAAAAAAAAAGCCCCCACAAGCCAAAACCAAGATACCGATACAATCTCTCCACCTACAGTGAACGAGATGACTACCGCAATGCTGATGCACCAATACAATCCATCTTTCGCTATGCTGCTAACTTACAACGCCTTACTAAAACAAGGCGCTCCTTCCTCCACCGCATCAAAACAAACAGCTTTCATTTAACATTGCTTCACTTAAGAAAAACACTGAAAAAATAGACCAAAAGCGTAACGCTTACTTGACAGCCTGGTCCAACCGGAGGCGCTGCGACGCTGATGGAGCGGGACGCCCGTTACCGTACTTGGGCTGAAAGAAAACAAACACCAATCGGTAAGAGACGCCGCAACTCCAGCGAGCTGCTCTAAGATATTCTCCACCCCAAAAAACCTAACCGAGACGAGTTCGTGACATCTCAGTCTAGAAATAACTGTACTAACAAACCCGTCCCACGAAGAGCAAGCTGCCTAGCTAGCCGAGCAAAAGGTAGCTCGCTTTCCTGTGGGGGATGTATTACTCGCCGGTATCAGCCTCCAACAGCCCCTTCGTGCGTTTAAGGAGCACCAAGCTAACCCGCTACAAAACAAACGACTGACTCACCAGTTGCTTGCGAGTCAGGACGCGCACCGAGCGCGGGAACGGCGGTTTCAGCCACGACTGTAACAAAACAAAAACAAGTTCGCAGGGCTCGACGGGAACCCAGGAAAGGTCACAATAGTCTCGCAGCTACCTCTCCTTCAGGGCGGCCGCCGGTCGCTCCCTGCTCGCTAACGTGCCTCGCGGCTCTTCAACGAGTTCCGCGAGGGCAGGGCTGGTGGCCTTCCTCAACGTCGTCAACTGCACCGCAACCTGCAAATCACAGAGACGGCTCAGGGATGCAGGGCCCCCGAGAGGCCACCGGAGAAGACGCAGCAGTCTGGCACCCGGGCCCTGAACTCCCACCGTAAGGGCAGTCGCGCTACGCACGCTGTGCTCGCCGTGCTTCCCGATTCGTCAACCCCGTGCCTCCACGAGGAGCGCGCTATCGGGGCTGCGAAGGAAGCGCAACGCCGCACAGCCCACCTGCGCACCCCCGACCGCAAGAGCCGAGTCTGTCTTCCGACGCCCGGCTTACGACTCCATCCCGAGGGCGCTCCGCGCTCGCCTCGCTCTCCGGGTCCATCTGCGCTTTAACGCCACCGGCATCCTCCCGCTGGCCCCAAACCTGCGGAAAGACAACCGCCGCGAACGGCATCCCGAAGGAGGGCGGCGCCGGCAGCCCTGAGGCCGGGTGGCTCCAGTTCCTGGGCGCCTGCCTTCTCTTTGTGAAGGAGACTACTCACAGCGAGAATCGGCCACCGTCTCGCGCCCTCTCCGGGGCTGATCCTTGCTTCTGGAGGTCTTGCTGCAGCCCGCCCCCGGCAGGAGGAGAAGATAACAGGAGAAAAAACAAACGAACTCGTTTGTAAGCAGCCCTTGTACGGCTTCTCATTCCCAGCAGACTGAGAGCTGGACCAAGCAGCGCTGCCCCTTCCCAGTCACCTTCGTCGCTCAGAGTAGGAAGTAGCCTGAAAACACCCACTAACCCCCCCACAGCCTTCCTCCCAAGGAGGAAAGTGGGAGCAGAGCAGAAGCACCGTGGAGACTTCAATAAAAGCAAAAGGAGCCCACCAGTGGCCCTGCATTACCTCCAAAGCAGGCAGGATGTGAGCACATAAGCAGCCACGTGCACTAGCTGGAGGGAAGAAAAAAAAGAAAAAAAGGAAAAGCAGAACCATAATATTATGACAAACTCATGCTGGCTAAAAAAAAAAAAAAAAAAAAAAAAAAAAAAACACACACACACACACAAACAACCACAAAAACACACACACGCGCAAGGTCAGGTCCTGGCAGCACCGTCCCTGTGCAAGCCTTGGAAAAGCAGGGTAACTGCCTGGCAGCTTCTTGCTAGCGACAGGGAGCTCCGGGAGAAACCGGCAGAGGCTAAAAAGCTTTGGCCGGGTCCTGCCCCGCCCAGACCATCCCAGCCTCACAGCACCTGGAGGTCATTTCTTCATTAGCACTGATGGGCCTCGTTAGGGCCAAGCAGGGAGCATCCAGGCAAGGATGTCCCCTCGGGCATCTAGGCTTGCAGCAGGATGGATGTCTTCTTCCTGTGAAGAATACGGTGGGAAAAAAAGAAAAGAAAGTGAAGGAGGAATGATTCAGGATGAAGCTGCTGCCAGCAGACGGGGCTGGGGCACCCGCATCGCACCCTTGGGGTGACTCCGAGCACCCTAAAGCTGTGTTTGGCCTCAGGGAGCTGAGCAGCAGCCCTGTGCTGATCCACCCCCCCCCCCCAAAAAAAAAAAAAAACCGCAGTGGGAGCTGAACAGCAGCGCCATGCTAAAGCTGAGCAGCAGGGGGAACCCGACAGTTGTCCCTCGTCGGCCCCGGACGAGCGAGGTGGGATCCCGGCAGCCTTCGCCGGAGGCTCGAAAAATCCCAGTGTATGTCATCCTCTGGCGCCAGCCCTCCCGCTGGAGGTGAGAGCGCGTGCCCCTGACCCCCGACACTCACAGTCTGCGTAGTTTCTCTGGTGTCGGAGCTGCTCACGAGCTTCCATCGATCCTTGCTGCAAGAGCCCTGACTGCATTCTCACCCTGCAACAAGGAAGAAAAACAAAACAGAAGCTTGAAGTAAAAATCTCGAGATTAAAACCACACAATCAACCTGAACAAGAACCCACAAGAACAGCATCTTGCAACCCTTCTTACCTACAGCAGGACCAGGACTGGGCTGGAGGGCACAGCCTCATCCTGATCGCCTCTCCATCGAGGCGAGTAGCAGGAACTGCAGTGCCCACAAACCTCAGGCTGGTGCTTTGCCTCAAGAAATGAAGCAGCAATCCTGTGCCAACCCCCCAAACCAAGAAGAAGTAGAAACCAGACAAGAGTACCACAATGACTCCCAGAAAGAAAGGAGAACCCAGCTGTAGTTTCAAGGCAGGACCCTCCTTCCTCCCCCCCCCCCCCCAAAAAAAAGGGCAGGGGGGGGGCACAGCAGCCTCTTGCAGCACACAGAGAGCCACAAAAGCACCCCCTATGGCTCCCAGTTGCCTCCAGAGGGGTTTAAGAGGCTTTCAGGCAGGCCCTGCCCACAGCTCCAAACAAGGCGCAGCTGTGCCCTGGCAGCCCGGCCCGGCGGCACCTGGGAGTCATTGCTTCATTAGCACAGGTGGGCCTCGTTAGGGCCAGCCTGGGATACTGACAGCATCTGCAGAACCTTTGAGTTTTAGCTCATCCAAACAATGATGTCTCCATACATCTGCAAGCCTAGATGTTTATGCTTTGTCACTTTGCCGTGAGGGATGTGGTGGCAGAGTTGGGATGAAGGGTGCGGGGTTAAGGATGAAGGATACGGGGCGCTCCTGTGCAGAGCCGGGAGGTGGACTCGATGATCCTTGTGGGGTCCCTTTCAACTCGTGATATTCTCAGTGTTTCCAATAACCCGTTCTTAATACCCATAAACTGTCCTCATCATCTCAGCTTGTCAGCATCTCTGTGGAAATTTTAATTTCATTGTTTTTCATACGTGCGTTTGTTTATCCAATAAAACCTCCACAATAGAATTTTGTCTTTGAAAACTGCATGTCAGCCTCTGTGTTATAGGTAGGACTCGGAATCACTGGCAGAAAACCATTTCAGTTTCTTCTTTTAAAACTTACTTAGCCGGAATAAACCCAGACTATCAAGGATGACATTTTTGATGATGATATTTAGAGAAACACCAGGAGAATAGCCCTGATAAAATGGAGACAATTTGTCACAGACACAGGCACACATCTGTATTAAACAGAAAACGATGCGTGGATTTGCCGATACGATTTATCGTCTCCTGTTATCATTATAGAAGTGACAACACCTTTGCAAACATTTCCTACTCGTATGCACACAGCTCAGCGTTCTTCCGTGAGCCTTGCATTTTGAGCACTGCAGCCTCAATTTTTAGGTGGACGTCATTCAAATGAAGAGGAACTGAGAACTGACATGGCTGCTGCAGCCACCCCCTCTTGCCCCTGGCTGCGGCGGTGCTGTTGCAGAGAATAAAGGGACTCTATGCCACTTATGGATCGGGCAGGAAAAGCGGCTGTTTCAGTTGGTTTGCAGGTGTTGCGTGCTGCCAGCAGGCCACAAAGTGTCTGTAAAACAACACGTGGGGTAGGTGGAAGTGCATGGTATTGTGACTGTCCTTTTCTATCCTATTCTAAGCTGCTAAGCAATGTGACCCATTGATACCGATCACCAACTAAGTCGTGTAGTTTCAGGCTGAAAATCAGCAGGTAAAATGATGCGACTGTTCTCCCTAGCCCCTCGGCTACTTCTGCTCTCTCAGCTCTTGGAAATGATGGTCAGTTAGTGTCACTTAAACACGTGTACGTTCCAGGTGTGCAGCCAGAACATTATTGTGTGGATCGGGCCTGTGATTGAGGTGCAAAGCAAGAAATAATTGCAAACTTGTGCTGAGATGACGCGGGATGTAGCAGCTGCATCTCAGATGCTTCCGTCTTGTTCAACCTCCCCTCGCATGGCACTTGCTAAATTGAGGCACTGTTTTTGTCTGTTCTCAAGTATGAAAGAAGCCCACGCTCCAAATGCTGCGTGAAGTGCACCCAGCTTTCCAGATCGCCACCGGCTTTTTGGTGTATTTATTCAAGGACAAAAATACCAAAAGCTTACAGACTAGGTAGAAGTATAAATGAAAAAAAAAAAATATGACTAACATTGAGGGTATGGCACCCCACATGTTTTCCGGTTTTGTGTGGCACACGTCACCTTAGAGCATTGGCTTTTTCAGACAGCAGAGTGGAAGGGCTTGCTTGGTCAGCAGTGCCTTCTGAAAGGATGGATATTTGGGAAATGAATGAGCTTTCTCGATTCAAGTAATTCAGATCCTGTTCGTGCCAACTCGAGGCAGCAAGACTCATTATGTTTCAAAAAAGTAATTTTTTTCTTTACTCAAACTGTTTATTTCACTACAAAAAAAATCATCGTTCACTGATTTATAGTAAAAGAAAATGCTTCTGTTCGTAGTCAGAACTATCTGTTACTTGTGAAAAACGAAAACTGGAGCACATGCTATAACTGTTACACAAAGAATTAGCAGAAGCGAGCAATGGCTGGCTTAGTGTCATCGAGATTTGCTGCAAAGATCAGAGGCTGCTCTCAGAGTACTAATGTATTGATTATGGTCAATTTTTCCCCCCAAAATTTATTTGCCAGATATCTGACACCGCATTTGAAGCCATCTCGTTTCCAAAGCTACTGAGCAAATTCAGATTTCCCCAAGTCAGGGAGCTCTGATTTTAGATGCCCAAACTGCGAAGCTAAGGATGTAATTAGACAAGTTCTTGGTTGTGAGTAGTGTAAGTGACTTGAAAAGAGATGCTTGTTTAAATGAAGTTAAAGATGCACCTTATTACTCACTGGAACATGGAATGGGCTTCTAAAGCTATGAGCTAACGTGTTTGTTCCTCCTCCTTGTTCCTGACATTAATAATTAAATAAGAAAAAGAAACGATTAATACAACTTCTAATAATTTTTTATTCCATTTCAGTGAACCAACACACGCCTTTGTGAAACGAGAAGCAGCAGTTAATACTGAACATTATTATGTGCCATCTAGTCTAACGTGGCAACAGAGAAGCATGTGAGATTCTTTGGTGTTGCTTTCGCTATTTGAAGATTGATTTATTCTGCGACGTCTCTGAAAGAAATATGTCTGATATTGCATATAATTTTCAGTTTTATCACTCTACTGCTGTCTCATGTGACATTCTGGTCTACAGCAGTTAAAGAACACAGTAATATTGACTAGCTGCAGAAGCAATAGTAAAAATTGTACATGACATTAGAGGTACAGAAATGAAATGCACACATCTCAAACCCGTTCGTTTTCTGAAACACACGGTTGGCATCAGCACATGTGCAAGAGATCGCTGGCATGTCATCTTGCACTCCAAGCAAAACCCTGGTTACAGAGGAGTTTGTTCACTGTTGCTTTAGAGCTTACATTATTCATCCTGTTGGAAATCACAGCAGTGTTCCCCTTACAGTCTTACCAGTACAATTATATGAACGCGAGAGTGCAAAATCTTCTCAGAGGCCTGTTTTTGTATCTTGGAACACTAAATGCCTTGGTTACTGTTATTTAGAGTTAATGACAACAGCAAAAGTCAGGTGTAAGACTTGGAAGGCCAGCAAGTATGTTTGCCTTCTAGCATCTGGCTCACTAAGAAGGGAGTCACTGCTGAAGATATTAAATACAATAAGTTAGGTCACTGGCTATGTAGTTACATAGGAAAAACAGATGATAATGAACCAGAGAGGACAAAAGCAGCAGAAAATAATCAGAGATGGCAGAACTCTACGTTCGACCGAGGATGAAGCCTCCCATGTTTTTCAGGAACGGAGTCTTTAATGAACATTCTGTTACACTCTGGCTCAAACCGCACGCTTGGATAGCAGGCCGGCTTCAGAAAGTGCAGGTGGGCAAATCCCACGCCAGTCACCGTGCCGTGCCACCTGCTAGCTGAGCTGGTCCTCAGTGTAGGAATTATCTTCAGAACAGTGAGCCGATTGCGGGTGATTCTGTCCTGATGCTTGGTTCTGGAGGAAAACCTGTGCCCGAGGAACTTCTGCTTTCTCCCAAGATATCCTGCTTTGTAAAGAACAGTGTAGCTCAATTTGTCTACATTTGAAGTTCAGAAACCAAAAGGGAGGGAGAGGAGAACATCTTTTAATAAGGGAAAATGAATAACTAAAGAAAGAATGTATTTAGGTATAATATGTGAGGAGTATCTTGCAGTCTGAGCTGTAACATAAAAATTACACAAAATGCATAAAACACAAAACAAACAATAACCACCATTAAAAGTGCAACTGCAGGTCCTGTAACAAACGATACAGTTTTCTGAAGCTATCTTCCAGGGTGACGTCTTACCCACAAGAAGGCTTTCGGAATGGGACCTGCAGAAGACATCCATCTGTGAGGTTTTAGAAGAAACTCTGCTGAAGAAACAAGCAACACATAGCGGCTAAGGCTTTATTCTCGTGAATAAATTATCAAGCCAGCTGTGGGTATTCATTCTTTTAATCACAGATTCGTTAGGGTTCATACACATTTTAATCCGCAATGAAAATCTCAACGTGCTCTAAGTGCTGCCACAGGTGAAATTATATGTTTTGGCATCTAGCACCTTGCATTTTGACATAGTGATTACGCTACCTCTGAGGGAAAATCCAAAATTTTATCATTGAAGTTTATAAGCGAGCGATCTCCTCCCAGCTACGTCATCAGTCCACGTAATTATGTTTATATAAGAAATTTGAATAAAAGATAGTTTGATCTTCTAGCCATATTACCTCTGGGGCTGGTGGAAAGCTGAGGTCTCGTAGTGCTTACTGTCGCCTCCAGAAGAGAGCTGCCACATGCAGGTAGCGCAAAAATTCAGCAGCTACCGCTATTTCAGTTCAGTTGTTTTTCCTCCTGCTGGTATCTGTGGTTGCAGATCAAGGTTCAGGGCCTCATGAAGCAGGCAGCCGACTCCGCTAATCCCACTTGATCCTGCTGCCAGATCCTCCAGTGCTGGATCTGAAAGAAAGCTTTTTTTCTGTGCCTGAACTAATCTAGACAAAGACAAATACGAAAGCTGCCTAGTGGCTACCATATAAACATACAAAAAGCCTGATGACCTAATGTACAAGTATAACTAAGGAGACAAGATGCCAAGAAAACAACTGCCAGAAAGTTTCCCTTCGATGCACTTATGATAGAAATTTCTCAACAGCCTCGAGGAACTCTGTAGATGAGCTAAGCCCTTCCAAATCCAGCAGATTGTTCTTTTTGTCACAGAAGTGGAATAATTCAGTCTCTTCCTCTTCAGGTTCCTCTTGAAATAGGTTTGTCTCTGAGGTAGGAATGATAATGATTCGAGGGACTGTATTGCTAACGATAGAGTCCAAGCCTCCATTATTATGACTTTCTTGAGTTTCCATCTGCGAGGTGTCTGAGCCTGCTTCTAGGCTGATGCTGCCGCTGTTCAAACCGACAGGCAGAGAGGCTGCTCGGAGGGAGCTGGTCACGAGCGCTACGGGGGAGCTGAGGAAGACTGACGGCCCCAGAACCTTCTCCAGGCAGCTGGATGACAGCGAAACCTAGAGCAGAGGGAAAAGCATCAGTGTCACTGCAAATCAGTACTTGGAATATTCAGTGCCGCTACTCACTACATCAGACGCTCATCCTATTTTCTAAATGGTTGAATCACTGACTAGAAAGGAGGAAAATCACAATGCGTTACCATCTACAGCTTGGAAAGCAAAATGTTAAATGAAGCAAAAGAAAATGTGATCAAACACTGGCAAAGACCGACAAGAAAAGAAAACCCCGGTCCCCCTTTACCTCTCTTTAGCCAGCACACTGCCGTTATTGCCAGCCATTCTGCATAACATATTGCGCTGCAATCTCGTTGCGCAGAGAAAAAAAAAAACACAACAAAAAACAAACAGAGAAGATGCATCTGTTTTCACTCAATTTTTGTGGTTTTGCAAGGAAAAGAAGGATCAGCCTTTTCTGTGTGTGTTTCTCTGTCAAGCTGGGTGTGAGTTTAAATACCGACACGTACTGCTGTACCATGCTCTACTCTACAGGCACTAATCCTTCACAAATCTCTGCTGATAATGATTTCTTTCCCTGCTGTACCTTCCCCAGTGCAGAGAATAACGATGTGCTAAAAAACAGTGGTTTCAGTAAACCTGACAGAGAAGAAATTCCTTTTATTTCAAATTGAGACTGTGGAAGAATGAAAGAATAATTTAAAATCCCTCCAGTCTCTGCTGTTTTTAACTGCTTGTGGCTTAGTGGGCATGACAGCACATTCACTAGTTTTCCTCTAGACAGGACTTTGCTAGTTGAGCATTGGGATGACCAGCGTGGGCTTGGTTGCAACTCCTGCTGGTTACAGAGTGGCAAGGAGTGAAGAGAGAACAGATCTTGGTGCTTGTTCCTCTGAGCGACAGCCAATCCCTCGCTGCCCTGCGCTGCCCTGCTGGTGGTGGTCATAGCGGTGCCTGCAGACACGCAGCTTTCTCCACAGCTGAGGCGCTTGTTCATGGCGGTGTTTAAAAGACCACCAAACAACATGTGTACATTCCCTTTAGCCCTCTTGTGAGATGACTTCTCCGAGCAGGTGTGAGCCACCTTTCCTCTGTCACAGACATTTCCGAAGGGCACGCCTGCAGGAGGTCAGAGCTGGCAGCCCTCATTTCACGCTGCGTAGTTCCCTTGGTACGCACGCTGGGTGCACAGAGCACGCTTGACAACTCTCCTTTGAAACCAAGTGTTCCAATCTACCTTATACTTACAACAGATGCCTGCATTTCGGTGCTTGCAAAAAGGCCTCCTCACAGCCGTGTTAGGTTTCCCAGTGTCAGCTGACAGGATGTCTGCTACCATTCTAATTGCAATTAGCCATGGGGCTGCTTGTAACTTTGTGACAGAAAAGGATCCCACGTGTTTCTATGCTTTCTATGCCCCAGACCTGGAACAGCGAATAGTGTTTTACTTACGCTTGAGGGATGTTTTTTCTTTCTTTGTGCTTTTGTTGTTGTTTTTTTGGTAACTCAGCTGCAAACGTGCATTAAAGAATGACTTCAGTCCACGAAGAGTTTAGAGTTACATGAATTCCTTAGGTGCTGATGAGATGGTCTTATTGAAGAAAAAGTTTAAGATGCGTTTCATAAAACACGCCTCTTGTTTTCCCTATTTTCTCTATGCCTTCAACAGAATTGGGCTGCTGATGCAGGGCAAGAGAGGTATGCAGGACTTCTGAGTCTGTGTCGCTTGCCACCACAACTGAAGCGGAGGCCTAGCACAATCCTTTCACAGCAAGAAGCTATCCTGCGGCAAGAACAAAAAACTGGACACTCCATCCTAAAGTCAGTTTAGGTCAATATTGCCAAAAACGAGTAATTAGCAGCCATGGTGTAGATGGTCCATGAGACTTGCGTTTGGTCTCTTCAGTAATTATTATCCCCAGAGAATAAAAGATGTGCTGAGGCTGCGGTAATTCATCCTATCCCTTGACTTGCGAGGAGTGAGACCTGAAAGCTTTACCTCAGCCTGTCTCACCTGTGGGAAATTTTTAACCAGAACAGAGAAAGGAAGAGGAAGTGAAGAGGGTCGGCAGAATGAGGTTGCTCCTGCTGCCTGCGTAGCACAAGTTTTCACAAAGATGTCAGTTGTGCAGAGTAGAAGCACTTATCTTTCATAGGATCAGGACTTGGCTTAACGTAACAGCTCTGCCACTCCTCCCTGAGAATGAAAAATGATATGAGGTGCCTGTGCTTTTGCAACGGCACCATCCCTGCTGCACTTCCTACGTTGCTGTTCTCAATCGATGCTACTCACAACGACCGCAGGAAAGGACTGAGGTTTCCCAGGACTTGATCTCAAGGAGGCAGAGGAAGGAAGACAGGGCAGATGCATGCAGGAACCGTGCCGTCAAATGGTTGGAAATTTCTGGAATAGGTTCTGCTTTAAGCTATGCTGTCTCTGCCGCACCGATCTCTACGCCTGAGCTGCTCCGTGAAAAAGCAGGTGGCACCGTGACCGGTTGTTGGCAGTGTACTGCATGCCCTAATTCTTTCTTGCTGAAAATACAGCACTGACATAGGCTTGATGTTGTACCTCCCTACAAATATTCATCTTGAAACTGGTTGCACAGCAGTTCCAGAAGCTGTCAGGTGACCTACTGCGCCCATCCTTAGCAGTTACGCCGAGAATGGGGAGGGAGCTCCTCGCAGCATAGCCCCAGACCTCAGAGGTTTGGGTAAGTGGTATAATGCATCCACAGAAGATGCTCTGAGTACTCACCATCTCCTCTTTCAGTGAGGGAAGGGTGGCATCTGCCAGACTCTCCCACCCTTAGGGAGAAATGGGAGTTTCTTTCTCGTCTTCCCCCTCAACAAAAATAAAACATTTCAATGTACGCTATAGAAAAACAAAAAAAGTGGTTTCTATCACGTCAAACTCTGTTTTGGAGGCCTTATATTTTCATGAAAAACGCTTTCACGATGTGATCGTGAGGGTCAGGATAGGAGAAGCCAGAGCTGGGGCAGATGAACATGCAGGGAGACAAAAATTCAGGTTCTTACACAACCCTACGGAATCCTCTTTAATGCGGCTTCAGAGCTGCGAGCTGCCCTTGGCTTTCCAAAAGCAGGCAACGTATTGGTGAAAAAAAATAAAACATTACTAGCATTCTCTTTAGTTAAAATAAATATAATAGCAAGGATGGAGAGGGCATCGGAATCTCTGTAAATATAGCTGCAGATGAAACAAATGGTCATGGAGAATAAATTATTATTTCTCAGATGACACGTTGCAGCAAGCTTAGCTACTACAATGGAAATTTCCCTACCAAAGAATACTTTTTTTCCTTACCTTTCCTTCGTTTTCTTCACTGCAGCTATAGGTCTCTGGAAGCAGGTCTCTCTTCTCCTGTCTCAGGCTTGCTGAGAAGGAATGACTTCGGCGAGGCTGCAGTTTCGCATGAGCTGGCTCTACCGGGTCAAGCTCTACGTCGCTCCAATTCTAATAAAAAATAGTGACAGATTTCAGAAATTTACACCTTTTCTCAAACTTTAAGTTCTCAAACTTAAGAAGAAGCCTTATGCTGTACGCTTAGAGACAACAACAGTCACTCTAACACAGGTCTCATACTCCAAACTCTCGTGAGGAGAGATTTGATTTTTTATTTTCTCGCTTACCCTGGACTTCTTTCCTGAAGTAAACAAACAAACAAACAAACATACAAACTTTGAAAACAGATTAAATCATCTTTCATCATTTCAACAGTAACTTATTCGTCCTTCTTTTATCTCATTGCTTGTACTGTGATTATAATTGCTTAGCTGGTATCTACAGAGGGGTTCACATTATCTAAACAATTACAGTCAATGTGCTTAACATGCTTTATGGCATTCCACGTGACCCTCGGCTAGTCCAGAACCGCGGATGCACGCACGTCTAAACTGCCACTTGTGTATGTCCCAGCTGGATGCCCAAACACCAAGGATTTCTCCAGTTCCACAGGCCTGGTTCTTCTCCAAAATATCATTCATGTTTGTTAGGGGCCCTGAGTGGGCCCTGCATAAATTTTCCAAAAATCACAACTGCAGTGGAGCAGAACAACGATTTTGCAGTCAGGCTGTTCCATTCATAGGGTTGGGCCATCCGTCATACCTAACTTAGTGGTGCCTTCTTGATGGTGTCACTATAACGAGATCCGTCTACTATCTTCCACACCACCTTTTAGATAAGGATAGACAGACCGGTCTCCACACAAGTAGGAAGCTAGCACGTAATTCCACTGTGTTATCTTGCTCATACATACAGATATCGTTGCCTCAAAGATATTGTCTCTCTGCAAAGACATATGCGCAGCACACAGCAAAGCAGCGGTGGGAACAGCTGCAGATTTTATGGTACTGATAGTGTCATTCCTGCCTGTCAGTACATTACTGGAGCATTCCAAAATTTCACTCCTTGCCGTTGTCACGCGTTGGTTGTTGAGCTTAGCTTGAATTTCAGCAGCTGCTCTTTCAGCTGTAAACCATATAGCTGCACTGAGTTGTCACCGTAGGCACGATTACCTTTGGCACTGCCAGCTCGGCACAGAACAGCCCTGCTCATAACGAACGGCAACTGTTTTGTCTGAGATCTTTAAGCAAAAGCTGAAGACTCTTATCTGCACCATCCCATCTCTTTAAACATTAGCCCCAACCAAACACACACAAACCAAGCAGTGATCAAAAGCAAAAAAAAATAATCAGATCAGGACATGTGTGACCAGCGGTCTGAAAGTGTAAACCCACAGATGCTCAGAACACTGTCATGTTAAGAGAAGTATGCCATCCGTGCTGGTTTCCTGGTGGTCCTAGGTTCATTTCCAAATCAAGAATGCCGGTCTTCCGCAAATCATCCAACACTGTTACGATTTCTTTAAAATGTGGTACCCTGGTCTGACTCTCAGTGACAGCCTGACAGCCCCTTGAAAGCAGCAGCAGTTTGCAGGGTGCAGCAGATAAATAGCTTCTTCCTCCTCACTCAGAAAGCTACCGCTTGGCTCAGAAGAAGAGCCTGCAGCTTGCTGCTCAGCCCATCGTGGGAATTTATACCTTTGTAGAAGGTTATGAGCCTCTCACGAGACTGCTTCCCATTTAATTCTGTTTGGTCAGAAAAGTGATAAACGCCTCACGCTGAGATCCTTTTCTCCTGAACTGTAACTTGCATGCCATGTTACCTATCTGTTTTTCTGTCCCGTGACTTTTTCCTGCCAAATGCCCACGCACTGTAGGTAGCTATACTCAGCCAGTCCACCAGCTTTACCAAGACTTAAGGTACAGTGTTTGCAGAACACTGCAGCTGGTTCCAGGTGCAGAAGGCTTTCAGTCCTCCTGGTGAAGAAAAACCTAAACCTAAAAGTTTACTACAGAAAGTGGACTTCCTGCAAAACAATAGGACACTGTTGGATAGGTGAGAAATTTTTGCTGGGAGATTATTTTTCTGCTCTCCTCCTCCCAGAGCCACCTGATTACAAGGCAACTAGTTGGTGACTTGGAGGTGCCTGACAATGGCTCTTTTTAATTAGCCCTGAGCTCAAACATCCATGCTACAAGTAAGCATCTGAATTGCCCAGATAGGCCAGCTTCTACGTATGTTCTGATCAAAACTCGTCACGCTTGAATTCCCACCAAAGTTCGGGAGAAATTGCCTCACATATCCAAACAATTTAGCTAGAACAATCCTCTTTTCCATACTTTAATTTTAATGGCAGTTTATTCTGGGAGTTGGAGAGATACTATACTCGCTTTGCTTAGTGGAAACAAGAAAAAACTTACAGCTTCTCCAGTGGAAACTGATGAAACACAAGTGTTCTTGGTCCTTCCTGAAACAGACTGGTGGCTGGAGAGAGAGGTCCTGAATGATGATTCATTTATGGACCCCCTCAGGAGATCATTCTTTGATACTCGTATTAGGAACCTCAGGCAGGGAACAGCATTGTGGATGGTTTTCCTGAAGGAAAATGGGTGAAGAGAAAGACAAACTATGTAACAATACACCGATGAATGGATTTGAAAATCATGCAATGACGGCACTTAATCACACATGGAAATAACACGGTACAGTTAGTGGAAAGGACTCAACTGAAAGTCCAAAAGGAAAACAGCAGTTGGTTTCAGGGCCTTCTATCAAAACGCTCATGGAAGAGCTGCGCACATGGTAGTAAGAGCTGAAACTAGCTTGGAAAACACCATCGCTTCCAACTTATTTGAAAGATTAACTCAGAAAAATTTCAAGCTGCCTTGGACAAAAGTCTGTGTGCTAAAGCAGATGAGAAGTGAAAAAGTAGAAGAGTAGAAGAGCGTAGGGGTCCTGGTGGCCAGGTGTGATCTTATGGCCAAAAAGACCAATGCTAACCTAGGATACATTAAAACGAGCCTGGCCAGCAGCAGGTCAAGGGAGATTATCCATCGAGAAGGCCTAGAGACAGAACAAGGGGCAAAGAGGAAATCCTTTGAAATTCTTTACTGTGAGGGTAT